CATAAAATTGAAGTGCCAGGCAAGCATGTATACATTTGTATGTTTCAAAGATTTAAACAAATAATAGGGAACAAATTCCATACACATTAGCAAATACACAGAAGACAATAAGTATAGCATAATCTTACAGTAGAAAACCGAGAACTTCCAGATGTTCAAGATGGATTAGGAAAAGGCAGAGGAACCAGAGATCAAATGGTCAACATCTGTTGGACCATCAAAAAAGCAAGAGAGTTTCAGAAAATCATCTGCTTTTGCTTTATTGACTATGCCAAAGCCTTTGACCGTGTGGATCACAACAAACTGGAAAAGAGATGGGAATACCAGACCACCTGATCTGCCTCCTAAGAAATCTGTATGCAGGTCAAGAAGCAACAATTAGAACTGGACATGGAACAACAGACTGGTTCCAAACTGGGAAAGGAGTATAGCAAGGCTGTGTACTGTCACCTTGCTTATTTAATTTATATGCAGAGTACCTCATGTGAAATGCCAGGCTGGATGAAGCACAAGTTGGAATCAAGATTACCAGGAGAAATATCAATAACTTCAGATATGCAGATGACATCACCCTTACGGCAGAAAGAGAAGAGGAACTAAAGAGCCTCTTGATGAATGTGAAAAGGCTGGCTTAAAACTCAACATTCAAAAAACTAAGACCATGGCACCCAGTCCCATCACTTCATGGCAAATTGATGGGGAAACAATGGAAACAGTGACAGACTATTTTCTTGGGCTCCAAAAATCACTGCAGATGGTGACTGCAGCCATGAAATTAAACGATGCTTGCTCCTTGGAAGAAAAGCTATGACAAACCTAGAGAGCCTATTAAAAAGCAGAGACATTACTTCATCAATAAAGATTCTGTCTAGTCAAGTCTATGGTTTTTCTACTGGTCGTGTATGGATGTGAAATTTGGACCATAAAGAAAGCTGAGCACCGAAGAATTTATGCTTTTGAACTGTGGTGTTGGAGAAGACTCTTCAAAGTCCCTTGGACTGCAAGGAGATCCAACCAGTCCATCCTAAAGGAGATCAGTCCTGGGTGTTCATTGGAAGGACTGATGCTGAAGCTGAAACTCTGATACTTTGGCCACCTGATGTGAAGAGCTAACTCATTGGAAAAGACCCTGATGCTGGGAAAGATTGAAGGCAGGGGGAGAAGACAGAGAATGAGATGGTTGGATGGCATCACCAACTCGATGGACATGAGTTTGAGCAAGCTCTAGGAGTTGGTGATGGACATGGAAGCCTGGCATGCTGCAGTCCATGGGGTCACAAAGAGTCAGACACAACTGAGCAACTGAATTGAACTGAACTGAACAGGAGAAAATCACAACGCAGCAACAGTACTTAATAGTAAATATTCAAAAATGTGAACTAGCTAGAACTGAATTAATATTCAATTGAATTCACTGAATTAAATATTTCAAAATAATATTCATTAAATTGAATAGAATCCTATCCAGGCTATGCAGTTCTAGAGTCCGGAATGGTAGAGTGAGAAAACACCAATCAATTAGGGTGATGGTGGCCTCATAGAATGAGTTTGGAAGTTTACCTTCTTCTGCAATTTTCTGGAAGAGTTTGAGTAAGATAGGTGTTAGCTCTTCTCTAAATTTTTGATAGAATTCAGCTGTGAAGCCATCTGGTCCTGGGCTTTTGTTTGCTGGAAGATTTCTAATTACAGTTTCGATTTCCTTGCTTGTGATGGCTCTGTTAAGATCTTCTATTTCTTCCTGGTTCAGTTTTGGAAAGTTATACTTTTCTAAGAATTTGTCCATTTCATCCAAGTTGTCCATTTTATTGGCATAGAGCTGCTGGTAGTAGTCTCTTATGATCCTTTGTATTTCAGTGTTGTCTGTTGTGATCTCTCCATTTTCATTTCTAATTTTGTTAATTTGGTTCTTCTCTCTTTGTTTCTTAATGAGTCTTGCTAATGGTTTGTCAATTTTGTTTATTTTTTCAAAAAAACAGCTTTTAGCTTTGTTGATTTTTGCTATCGTCTCTTTAGTTTCTTTTGCATTTGTTTCTGCCCTAATTTTTAAGATTTCTTTCCTTCTACTAACCCTGGGGTTCTTCATTTCTTCCTTCTCTAATTGCTTTAGCCATTAAAAAGAATTCATTTGAATCAGTTCTAATGAGATGGATGAAACTGGAGCCCATTATACAGAGTGAAGTAAGCCAGAAAGATAAAGAACATTACAGCATACTAACACATATATATGGAATTTAGAAAGATGGTAATGATAATCCTATATGCAAAACAGAAAAAGAGACACAGATGTACAGAACAGACTTTTGGACTCTGTGGGAGAAGGTGAGGGTGGGATGTTTCGAAAGAACAGCATGTATATTATCTATAGTGAAACAGATCACCAGCCCAGGTGGGATACATGAGACAAGTGCTCGGGCCTGGTGCACTGGGAAGACCCAGAGGAATTGGGTGGAGAGGGAGGTGGGAGGGGGGATCGGGATGGGGAATACATGTAACTCCATGGCTGATTCATGTCAATGTATGACAAAACCCACTGCAATGTTGTGAAGTAATTAGCCTCCAACTAATAAAAATAAATGAAAAAAAAATAATAATAAATAAATAAATAAAATTTAAAAAAAAAGAAAACACCAATCAAAGAGATACATGTAGTTTAGATTTTAGAAATTATTTTCAAAGAGTTAGGAAAAATATCAGTGAAATTCTGGATCTTACAGGAGATTTAAACACGTATTAAAATAATTAAAGACTTAATCAAATTATACCCAAGAATAGTGATAGAGCAGTCAGAGTGGTAGAAACACTGAGAGCAACATATTTAAAATTAGTTATAATTAGAGAAATACCAAAGTTTCCAAATAGACAAATGTTCCATTTTTGGAGAGAAATGAAATTTTCCAAAACTATTATATCTGATTAAGTATCAATACTCATAAATATTTCAAAATGTATTATTAACAAAACTCAGCATATGTTCATTCATAAATAAACCTAAAAATATATATCAATGAATAATTAATAAATAATTATAAATATTAGCATTTTCTAATTACAAGTGTATTAGTCCTTTATTCTCATCATTGTTATTATGTCTTAAATTATTTATCTGTAGTAACATACTTACAACATAGAGTGAAAACAAGCTCAAAGCATAGCTAGTATCCTGAGCAGATAGAACAATGGACCTAAATAAAAGTTAGGACCATTAATTGTGGTCAATGTAAATGTCTATATTTAGATTCAAGCAAATTAATAGGGGCCTGGTGTACAAACAGTTCCTGTAAAAAATACTTGGCATGTTGAATAATCAAGTACAGATTTAACATACATAAAAATATATTGCAAATAGTCAAAAAGTAAGATAATTCAAGCATTTTAGGATATGTCCATGGAAGGAGTACCCCATTCATGGCTAATGATAATTTCAAAGTTGTAAATCATATCGAACAAATTCATAGTTCTGATTCTAAAAATAAAAAATTACTTAAGACACTGTCCCTTGTTTCAGGATGTCACAAGCCCAAATGTCAAAACAGACATAGTAAAAAAGAAATATAAATGAAGGATTTATTAACTATGGCAATATAATTAAATAGTATTTGGATCATTATTTTCAATTCTAGTCATTTAATTTTAAAAGACACCACCATTATTTAGTATTTAAAAAAATAAAGTAGTGAGAAAATAATTCGTATCTTTTTATAAATGGAACCACCAGACTGAGATTTAAAACAAACAAAAAAACTCACCCATAGATAAAGTATGTGTTACAGCTGAGAAAAGAGCAGCCATATTTCGGCTTTGAAATTACTGCTCTGAAAATAACACTGAACAGGGAAAAGCTTCCATCAAGGTGTGTCCTGTTGAACCAGTGTTTCATAGGATATTATTGATAACCAAAGAAAAAGATTCTGTAGTGTTTTGAAGAAGACTAGGTAAAACTAAATTGACAGGTTTCTTTGCTGACAAGACTATACTATTCTGATATGAATGGTGAAGCACCTAAAACACAGTCTGACAAGGAGACTTTTGAAATGCATTTGACCCCAGAAGGATTTTATTCTCTTCTTTCACTGAGTATTATAAGGAGCTAGTTTCTATGGAACACTCACTGGAAAATCGTGTACACTTTAACACCAAAATAAATAAATAAATAAATGCAAATGTCAGGAGCTAGAAATATCCAATGAGGAGAAAGAGACCTCAGCAGGTTCATGATAGCTGTCTCTAAATGTTTGTCTTGTCAAAGAAGGACATAGTATTTCATCAAAGTGGAAATCTAGATTAATGAATGGAAAACAAATTTCACCTCAATATAATATCTCAATGAGAATTAAAAAAAAAAAATGTAACAGCAATCCAACAAAAGTGCTTATCGGTTGTCAAAGGTTTTATCCAAGCAATTTCCACATTGGTGGAAGGTCTGGAAATACCACTAAATTCCACCAATTCTTATATTTGATAGCTCATTTGCAGTAATTATCAGCTGAGGTTTTCATACATTTAGAATTTCAGATTCTCTGTCCATTTTTGTACCATTTTGAATTAAGCATTTTATAGACAGAAGACAAACAGATGAGCTGTCAGAATTTACTGCAAATACAAAACCCGCATAAGAAGTATACACAGTTTACACTTAACACCAGGAAAAAATAAAATCACTCTAACTTAAAAAACAAGTGATTTAAATAATGTTAATCGTAAATTCCATATGGCCAGAATTAAAATGGAAGTTTTCTCATTTAGGAAACGAGGCAACGGGCCTGGAGAACACATACAGGGGAGCATAAGACCATGGAGCACAGATCGGCGTCGGGAGTACGAAAAAGCTGTGAAATATACGAGGCACGTTCAGTTACAAGTGGCTTCCACGTGTCTATACATGCCTTGGTGCCATCACATGCAAACAAGCATGATTCAATACATTACACGGGTTATCAACGGATTTTACTACGGTGTAACGTGCATCTGCTAGGATAATAAGTCAGATGAAATACTGATACCTATTTGCATATTCCTTGATGATCTGATATATGCTAATCTTAATGGTTTCGTTTTCAAACCGGCCGTTGCTCCGATCCTTGTATATCCGGAATTCTGCTGCCGTCACTGCTTCTCCATGAGGAATCTGCGTGAGATCGAACCGGAATTCTTTGTAATGCCTTCGCTGGTGCGAAAAATCTTTGTCTCTTTCAACTGGAATCAACAAACAGAAAAGGAAGTAAAATGTTAGTCCTTTATTAAGTATGGGAATTAATGGTGAATTCTTTCACTTTGGAAGACAAACAAGCAGGATGTTATAAAACTGGGAAAACACTAAAACCACAGACTCATACGTGTTTCTAGTTAAAGGAAATTCCACAAACCAACAGCCTTTAGTTCAAAAGCAATATAACCTCTGCGGTTTTATACAAATTCCTGGCTCCTAAATGGAAAGGTTATCCAAAAATGTTTTTTAAAGGGATGGTTGTAAAGTTATTACTAGTGTGTGTATCCAGTACCGGAACAGAGGAGGCTTCATACAAGAATTAGGACTCTGTGATAGAACGCTCCAGAGTTCCAGGTGAGGTCAGCGGGGAGATTTAATACAAAGGGAGGAAAATCGGAAGGCGGCCCAGGGAGCTGCCGGCACAGCGGGACTGTGTTTATGAAATTTTAGAGGTCAAGGAAATAAAACAAATTCATTTTCACAAGGAAGATTATTTCTAAAGTGTCTTCCCAGGAGAGTTTTTTCCTCCTTTTAGCAAATGCAGTGCTCTTTTTTTTTTTTTTTTTTAATGCACTTTCATTAGTTCTTCGTGGTTACTGAGCGCAACCTCCCCAATTGCCCCCCGCCCCCACCGGTGGTGCAGCAGCATCCAGTCTCCCAAGCCCTCCGCCTGTTCTTAGGCTCGGTGATTGAGAGGGGAACACGATTCCGCCTTCAGCAACCTTCCTACCAGAAGAGGTCAGAGAATTTTTCCTCTTGGGAATATGGAGGAGTGTTGAAGAACTCAGGACAGGAAGTGTCAGGCATATCATTACATAATCTGGCTTTATAAAATGCTGTATTGCTTGATACGGTCTGTGCTTGTTATCCACCAGGGGTCTTGGCCTTCGCTGATCAGTAGAAATTGATCAGAGGTCAGACAAGGCTTTGCTGGGGGCCCTGGTGCAGCAGCAGGGAGCAAAAGCAATAGATGCCCTTGCTTGCTGCTGAGGGGAGGGTGGCAGTGAGCTGGCTCCTTATATGAGCTGAGGGTAAGAGTGGGTCCAGGGGTCAGGCCAGACGGATGGCTTAGGTGGTGCTGTGTGCAGGGGAAATATGCGGGATTTTGCTCTCAACACCCTATTTTTCTCCAGGCTTTTTAGAAGTGGCAGTTGAGTTTTTGATCTTTTTGTATCTTGTTGTCTGTATTTTGCCCCAACTGGCATACACATAGTTATTTTTAGTCCCTTATAGTTTCTTTGTAGTTTTTTACTCAAGGAGACCAGTCCAGGTGCAGGCACTGCAGTGAAGAGTCCTGCATCCCAGCTTGGCCTCACGCTGGGTACCAAAGTCTTTCTTAAAGAGCAACCTAATGAAAGGGCACATGTTTAGTAATGACATATCATCTGGTGGAATTAAGTTTCTCAGCATTGGTAGGTTTCTTAAATCTCAGTTAACTCAGATAATATTGGACAGAGAAGACTGGCAGGTGACACTCCATACAGTCGCAGGAGAGACACGACTGAAGCAATTTAGCATGCATAGGACAGGTTACAAAATATCCACTGCCAAATACAGTGTTCCAGGTGTCTCACAAACCTACAATAATATTTTTTACATACATTCAGTGATATTTCACTGCTAAAATGCCATTAAAGAAGATAAAAGATGTATGCTATAAAAACAACTCACAAAGTTTGTTAATTGCATTAAGATACAAGAATATCTTTAGGAGATTAATTGAAATTCCAACCTTGCTGGAAATTTATGACATTGGGGTCCTAAACTAGAGGAAAGGTCAGGATTAAGGAAGAAAGAAGGCAATTCTGATCATTGAGGAGTGATTTTGGGGAACCGAGGCTGTTGGACACTTAAGTTACCAGCATCAGACAGGTTCCAAGTCTGAGAGAAAGCTCATGATAAAGAAACCCACAGTTCTTTGCCTTTATCCTCCAAATTAATCTCTGGTTTATTTTTCCTAGAGGAGTAGCAGGTAGTTTAGGACAGCAAGAAGCTCAACCCCACCTCCACCTTAGATACCTACCCCAGCAAAAAGGAAAATGTAAGCTATACCTGGAGGCATCTTCATCCCATGAACTTGAAAAGAACGGTGCTCTCAGGCTGCCTGGTTACACCAACACCATCTCCCATGACTCATGAACTTTTGTTTTATTTAAATATCATTATCTTGGTCCTAAGGGCTTCCCTTGTGGCTCAGCTGGTAAAGAATCCGCCTTCAATGTGAGAGACCTGGGTTCGATCCCTGGGTTGGGAAGATCCCTGGAGAAGTGAAAGACTACCCACTCCAGTATTCTGGCCTGGAGAATTCCATGGACTGTATAGTGTAGTCCATGGGATCGCAAAGAGCTGGGCATGGCTGAGCAACTTTCACTGGTCCTAAAAGAGGTTCACTCCTGGAGAAATTAATTAACCTTTCCCTAAATAAGGAAGATGACTGCATTTTTAAGATCGTATTTTGTTGCATAAATTAAATCACTTTTATGTCTAAACTTCAGCTGGCTATAGTATAGTCTGCTATGAACAAGTCTCCACCTCCAAAGTGTAAGGGCAGAAAATTACCTACAAACTGGATTTCCAATAGCTAGAGTGTACATATGAATTTAAAATTAGCCAAAACTCTTTTTTTACAGAGCACTACATTCAATTCACTGTAAACTACTTCTTTTCTGATCTTAATTGAGACAAAACAGATGACATCATGAAACAAATTTAAATAAAACTGTTTTAAGAATTTTATTAACATTAACACATTACATTTTATAACAACCTCTGGGGCAGGTTCTATTATCATCCTCATTTTGAAGATGAAGAAACTGCGGAGGCAGAGTAAGGAATCTTTGCCAAGTAATTTGAATCTGTTAGGTAGAAAGTTAGGCAGCAGCAACAAGGGGTGGCCTGTCCGAAAGGGATGCAAGCTGATCTCTAAACTCCATGCCAGGTACACCCAGGAGAGCTCACAGATATGCTTCAAAGTAACCACAGAGACTTTTCCACCCCTGCACAGGCAGCCTAGGTACCCGGGCCATGCAAAATAACCACAGGGGCTTATCTAAGTAACCTTGGGCAGTAAGGAGTCCATTAAGGGCTCATGAATATTTTACATTTAATTATAACAGACTGAATTATGGGAAGACATAAACAGCACAGCCTGTTGTTATATAATTTGCAGTAGTCAATTGGCCTTGAGGGTATGCCCATATGAATTCCCTTTCATTGACTGGTGGTGGGTATGAGTCCTACTTTGCACAGGGCATAGCCAAAAGTAGGAACTAGAAGTATGAAAGGGGGAAGCCAAGAGGAATCGATAGGAAGGATGAGAACTCCTTTGGGGCCAGCCTGCTCCCGTCTTGGGAGTGTCTGTCTTCTAAAAGATCTGTGAGCCAAACTGAGCTGTAGCTTGTCTGTTGTTCTACACCTTTTTCTCCATTGCTCCAGGCTTTTGTTGTGAAAAGATAAGAACTGAGGAAGACAAATAAACTGACCTGACAAATCCAAGCACTTGAACCAAACTGTGATTCTTAACATGAGGCTGGGCTGCTTGTGCTATAAGAAACTGTTACTTTGTCCTAAGTATTTATGCTTTAATAAAGATCAGATAAATTAGAAGTTTGGGATTAACAGATACGCACTACCATATATAAAATAGGTCAACAACAAGCACCTACTCTATAGCACAGGGAACTATACTCAATACCTTGTAATAACCTATAATGGAAAAGAATCTGAAAAAGAATATGTATATGCATACATATATGTATGAATCATTTTGCTGCACACTTGAAACTAACACAACGTAGTAAATAAACTATATTTCATTTTTTAAAAAAGCAAATAAAAGATCTGAAATTTTGCATTTACAAGTCCAAAATCCAAAAAGCTCTGTAAACTGAAATTTTGGCTTTAGCTTCAATTGGCAGAAAAACTGAAAATTAACCAATTTGAGATGATTTTTAAAGTCCCCATTTATCCCCACTTTATATTTACTGCTTTGCTGCAGAAATGTTCTGTTTGTTTGAGTGGGTGGCACTGATCCAGACTCTGCTTGAGAAATTCCACACTTTAGACTCAAAGCACTCATCAGTCATTCAAAAGTGTATATTCTCTATTCTGAAAGTCAATATTCAAAATTCTGAGTGATAACAACCATTATTCAATTTTCCATTAACAATCAATTTTGCATTTGAAATTTAGACAAAAATAGCTGTAATTTTGAACCTCAGAACTTTGACATGAGTTTGTTAAGGTCCAATCTAAAGCATGCACCTGCATGATGCAGATGAGTATTGAATTCATATTATGTAAAGTCATCTACTGTTCTGGAATCCCTGGTGAGATGTTAGTGTAATAAAGTGGAAAGCTAGAGTTTCAGCTGTTATTATAAAATTTCAGTTTTCTAATCCAGGCTCTTTAACCTAACCCCTTAAGGGGGCAGATTTTCAAAGAGTTTAATAAAATTTTATATTAAATATACCACACAGAATAAAGTTTCAGAGCAGATTTGTCCAGCAATTCAAATTCCTATATCCTACTGCTTTGAATTATAATTGCACCGGTAAATTCCATGGGACATGTTGCAATGAGTAATGGAATAAAAGTAGTATTTATATAGCCTTGCACTCCTAATGATGCTCACAAATATTCACAAGGTAATCTCAGTTACCTAGGGAAGTGTCAAATACTAATATCCCCAACTTAAGAAAAAGAAATTGGGTGATGACAGCTAGGCAGTAACAGATGTCTGTCTTCTAAAGCTCATTATAAATCTTTGTTCAATGTCCATACCACCTACATAATGACGTCCTACTTAGGGACTAGTTCATTGTTAGTACAGGTGACTCTTGAACAATACAAGGGCCAGGAAAACTGACCTCCTGCACAGTCAAAAATCTGTGTGTAAGTTTGACTCCACAAAACTTAACTACTAATAGCCTACAGTTGACTGGAAGCCTTACTTATATAATAAACTTTTGATTAACACATATTTTGT